TATCTATCAATCTATCTATCTATCTATCTTCCCTCCTTGGCTTCTCAGGCAACTAATATACATAAGACTACTGACTCCAGTAGGGTGGTAGAATGCAGCCATCCTGTTATTCTACCTTATTTAATCCTTGACTTATGTCTTCCCAAGGGCATCCAAATCAGCCGGCTTTTAAAAGAAGCAAGCAGAAAACTTGCAGAACACAAGCACAAATAGTTTGAAGCTTCTACTGTCATTCACACACAACTTGCTACACTCATTATCAGCACAAAGCTCTGCAAAAGTCTGCTGTATGTGGATGATGGTTGAATTGGCAGCCTGTCCATCCGGAACATGTGACAGAAATAATTATCCTAGCGTATCTTAAATAATTGCTGTGTGTGCCAGTATGTTGCATAACCTAATCCTGTAGTCACTTTTTCTGTCCATTTCTGATGCCTTGAGAGCAGCACAGATGGGCCTTTTCTCCAGTGGGATCATCATAAATGGAGACATTGCTTTCTATCTCAACGGGACCATGTGTGCCAGATGTGTGTTTTTACACGTGCAGCAGTTGGATGGAACAGAGGTGGGTGGTGGGTGGGGATTGCCTGCCCAGGGGATTCTGCTGGTTTGCTTGCTAGGGTTTGTAGCATATTCCCAAGAGCTGTATAAACTACGCATAGAAGTGGTATTTCAGCTGTCACGCATTTGGTTCACTGGAGTTAAAAAGGAAGTACAGCAGGCAGTCATCTAGCTATATCCTTCTAATAGTTAGATTTCTGTACATACAATGTCTAATATGAAACAGAGGAATTGCTCTTTTGGATCAGACTGAAGGTTGTCCTAAACTAGGTATTCCTTGTTTTAATTTTCACAGTAGCCAAATATGTCTCTAGGAAGGTCACAACATGAGGGCATGCTTTTGTTTCTAAAGCTTCTACTTTCTCTGGTTGGGAAACTGTCGGCAGGTTGTTTGTGTGTGTTTTAGAAGGCAGCAATTAAGATTAGAATTATGGCATGTGGGAAGGTCTTTTTATTTTTAAAACCACTTTCCAACATGCCATAATTCTAATCTTAATTGCTCACTTCCAGGCTGCAGTTCTGAATATTCTTTTGAAAGCTATCCAGGTATTTAATATGGATTGTGTTCACACATGAGGATAAGCCAAAATATTGTTTGTGTTTTTCCTTAGCCTGATGTGTGAACCTTTGTATTGTGGCTTAGCATTATATATGAATCAGGCAATGTTTTCTGAAATTCTTGGGTTGCCAGCTAATCTGATTTGCAGGATGGATACTGAAGCAGGAGGACCTTAAAGGAGATGTCAGGACTTAAACAAACAGCATCATGTTTATTTAAATTTGTTCCCATTAACTACCTACAGCACCAGGGGACCTTCCTCTGTCTGCCAGAGTTAGCCCGAGTGGTGAGGACAGTCTCTGGAATTTGACTTGCAAAGGGGTTGTTTTCACTAGGCAAGTTTTATAGCCCTGCAACCTCCCTTTCCCCTTCCACCCCCAGAGTTGCTCAGTTTAGGCCTCAGCAAAGGAAGGTTACATATTAATGAAGATTAAGCATCTACTAGGCACTGGGTGCTTGCTATGACAAAAGAGGGAAATAATGATCTGTTTGGGGTTAGAGCTGGAAGTTTGTTATCTTACAGCTTGCAAGAGCAAATAGGAGGAGCTAGCTTGTCTAAACAGCCTCTCTTCCAGGTGTTAATTGAAAAATGCAGGTCAGTCACAAAATAGGCAATTATGGTTCTTCACCAAATCATGGGCTAAAAATCCTGTCTTAGAGAAACAATACTGAAAGAAGAACAACTGCAGGAAGAAAAGAGTGCTTTATGAAAAAATATTGTAAGATAAATTAATCTCACAGCACAATGAATAGAAAGTGGATGTGGAAGTTGCTTGGAATAGAGTGAAAGAGAAAGTTACCTTACAGAGTGCCACAGAAGTGTGTGAAGTTAGGCTAGTGGAAAGTATGCATGGTGAAATGGTGAAGTGAAAGAGGCTGTGGATGAAGAAAAAGGATTTTAAAGGGCTTTTAAAATATGAGTTGGATGTCAGTATCTCCACTGTCTTATTATTTAAAGATAA